TGAACCATTTCCTTTTGATACAATGACTGTTATATTCCTTCCATCTTCTCTTGATGCTTTCTGCATCATTCAATAATTTGCCCAGAGAATCCTTCAATAACAAAAGTCGAGACTTGAATTTTTTCTTCACTTCCCTCAGCTTGAGATATGCTGAGCGTGTTCTTCCTTTTTGGTTTTCTGACTCCATATCTTTGCACATTTTGTTGTAATATTTGACTTTATCTTCTTGAGCTGACCTTTAAAATTTTCTGTTTCTCTCTTGTACCTCCTCATTTCTTCCATTTGTTTTAAACCCATCATTGTTGTTGTTGTGATATGCCGTGGAGTCGGTTCCAACTCATAGCGACCCTACACAGGGTTTCTGAGGCTGTAAATCTTTACGGGAGCAGACCGCCTCATCTTTCTCCCGCGGAACCGCTGGTAGTTTTGAACTGCTGACCTTGCGGCTCGCAGCCCGATTCATAACCACAATGCTTCCAGAGCTTCTCATAAGAAGGGAGAAATTGCCAAAACTCTAGCAGTAGCTACATGGAGAGGGCCGCCTGAGGAAAAGCGGGCCCTCTGGAAGGATCCACCCACCACTTTCAGCTCTCTGCAGAGACGAAAGTGTGGAGTAAGTAACCAGGGTTTTGCCCACCTTCACTCAGTGCCTTCCAGGGCCTGAGCCAGTCTGGGCAGCTCAGACCCCATGCACAGAGGAGGTGGGGAAGGTGTATGTGGAGGGACAAACTGAGGTGACCCAGCTCAGAGAACCACCCAGTGATGGGCCTTCTCCGAGTGACTCACCATTTCTCTGTGGCTCATTCAGGCTTGACAACCTGATCTTCCATCCAGAGAAGACGGAGGTGCTTGCTGTTCTGGACTGGGAGCTGTCAACCTTGGGTGACCCCCTAGCTGATGTGGCTTACAGCTGCCTGCCTCACTACCTGCCGCCAGGTTTCCCAGTGCTTCCAGGTAGGGATTGCTGCTGGGGGTGGCAGGACCCCAAGATGAGCGGACAAATGGCAAAAAGATAATCATCCGCTGTCATGATTTTTATGAGCATGACTAACATTTCATTCTCTATGTTTGTCATTTCCCCCCTACATGTTTGGTAGGGTGGAGGGTCAGAGAAAAAGAGCAAGAACCCCAGGGAGATGGACTGGCCAAGTGGCAGCATCAGTGGGCTCAAGTGTGGCAACAATAATGAGGTTGGCCCAGGATCAGGCAGTGTTTCGTTCTGCTGTGCATAAGGTCGCTATGAGTTGCTACCAACTCGATGGCACCTAACAAAAATGAATACATGCACATTAAAAAAACAAAAAAATGGAATTACACTATTTACATGACCTGCTTATCATGTTTTGAACATATTGTCATGACAGTGGTGGTGGTGGTTATATGCCGTGGAGTCAGTTCTGACTCCCACTGACCCTGTATAGGGTTTCTGAGGCTGTAAAACTTTATGGGAGCAGAAAGCCGCATCTTTCTCCTGCTGAACAGCTGGTAGTTTCGAACTGTTGACCTTAAGGTTACAGTCCAACTTGTAACCACTACGTTCGCAGAGCTCCTTTGTCATGCCAGTAAGTATTGGTTAATCAAACCAACTCCAGATGGTTGGTAGTAATTTGGATATCTGGACCTCCTTGCTTCCTTCCTCATTCCCCTCTCCCTGCTTTTCTCTCTTAGTACTGCCACCCCTGCTCCCAAATAGGCAGTGAACATCTCTGTAGCAATATCTTTGCCTGTATACAAAATGGAGTCCTGGTGTGGTGCTGTGGGTTAATGCATCAGACTGCAAAGCCACTAAAACTGTAAGGTTGGCAGTTCAAGCTCACCAGTTGCTCCTTGGAAACCCTATACAGGGTCACTATGGGTCGGAACTGACTCGATGGCACTAAACAACAACAACATATACAAAATAAACTCCTAGGGTAAATTCCTAGGAACAGCACACATTATATACCTAAACCATGAAAATGTACAAATGAAGCAAATCAGTGAGTTTTTATTTCTTTTAATGATATTTTTCATAATTTGGGGGATCTCTTTTTCCATACAAGGAGCTCTGGTAGTGTAGTGGTTATGAATTGGGCTGCAAACCACAAGGTCAGCAGTTTGAAACTACCAGCTGTTCCGTGGGAGAAAGATGAGGCTTTTTGCTCCTGTAAAGATTTACAGCCTCGGAAACCCTGTACAGGGTCGCTATGAGTCAGAACCGACTCCACAGCACATAACCACCACCACCAGCACCTTTTTCAATACAGTGTTTATGAAGTGTCCTATAGAAGGTGACATGTAGCCACCCTGAGTTATGGTCGAAGTGAAATTGGAGGACCCTGCGGCCCGCCTTTACTGCAGATTTAATCTTTAAGTCTTTTAGAACCAGTTTGTGAGCAATAACTTCATGCTTGGACTTTCTGCCACCTGAGGGAAGAAGAGCCACTGAAACAAAAAGCAAATCCTTGCAGTTTGCTGTGAAAGTGGTTTCCACAGGACTTAGTGATTTTTAGAATGTAAATGTTCGCCGGTCCAGGGACATGCAATGACTGGAATGACTCTGTCGCCTCAGGTTTGAGTGGCTGTGACTTGACCCAGCTGGGAATCCCAACAGCAGAGGAGTACTTCAGGACCTACTGTCTTCACATGGGGATCCCTCCCATTGAGAACTGGAACTTCTACATGGCTTTCTCCTTTTTCCGTGTGGCCGCCATCCTGCAGGGAGTCTACAAGCGCTCGCTCAAAGGTACGGGAAGGTGCTTCACCTGGAGGGTGAGTCACAGCCAACAGGGGTATCTTACCCGGAAACTCTCACAGGGCTGCAGAGACTTTAAGGGAACATTGTGACCAGAATATCTACACAGTCAATTAATTCAGCCATTTGTCATGAAAACTGTGAGAGGGCTTCAAAAAGGTTTTGGAAAACTTCCATTATCTTTGTAGCCCATTTTCCCATGAACGCTTTGAAGCCCCTCATATTGAATCCTGATGTTGTTGAGAATGTGCAGGACAGAGCACCCACAATGCAGCAGGCACTTCACGAACCATTCAGCGAGCTGGATGAGGATCTTCAAGGTGTGCACCACTCGCACTCTCCTTTTCTTCCCCAGGAACATAAACTCACTGCCTCACCCCCGAATTTCCTACTGGGTCTTGAAGTTGCTCTTTAACCTTATTTTTTACTTATTGAAACAACATACAACATTTTGAAAATAAAAACATATCTGTCCATGTTAAAAATTATGAAAACCCTCTGCCACTGGATCAGTCTGACTCATGTTGTTGCTGTTGTGAAGTGCCATCGAGTCGGTTCCGACTCATAGCGACCCAGTATAGGGTTTCCTAGGAGCGGCTGGTGAGTTTGAACCACTGACCTTGTGGTTCAAACCGACCTTGAGGTCGAGTGCTTTTCCTATGGCGCCACACCAGGACTCCAATTTGACTCGTAGAGTAACCCACTATGGGGTTTCTGAGACTAAATCTTTACAGGAATAGCTGTCTCTTCCTTCTCTCTCGGAGCAGCTGGTGGGTTTGAACCTCCGATCTTGCAATTAGCAACCCAATACCTCATCCACAGTATCACCAGTGCTCCTTGAACATGTTAAAAATTCAGTCACACAGAAGAATAGAAAGCTCTTGTCCTTCCTCTTAAGCCTCATGTCTGAAAGGGAAACAAGCCCTTTGCCTTGGGGAGAGAGAACAGATGGGGCCTGTTAGCAATGAAGACAATGGTGAGTTGTATTTTAGGTGAATTCTTCCTCAAGAAAGATTTTTTTTGTGTGTGTGGTGACAAAATCCATTTGCAGTTTATTGAACAAGAAACAGCTGTAGGGTAGAATGTTCCTTTACTGAAAAGACAGCAGCTACAAAAGAGAATAAATACTACATGAGGAATTATTGTTTCTTTTAAAATACAGTAGACCCCTTGGTATTGGTGAGCAAAGCCAAGAGCTCACAACATTGTATATGTAAAAAATTGACAGTGTATAGTGAGGGTAATCTTCTCAAAACCTTGGAGCAGATGTTGGAAACTGGCTAGACTCTGAGCAGGTCATGGCTTGTGAGAATTTGGAAAGTCCTGAACTTGTCACTTTGGAATGTCAGGGGTCCACTAGGATGTAATGTGCATAGTGTTATAGTTGAATAAGAATTCTTCATTCTAGTTATTCTTCATTCTTATGGTTAAGTATCATAGCAGTTAAAGTTGGAAAAATATCTTGGGGGTCAGGTTAAGGGGACAGGAGGAAGGCTGGAAGGAAAGAATCAAAATTCTCATCTTGCTCTATTTTCTGTCATCTCAGTATTAGGCCACACCTTCTGTTAGAGAGAGAGAGTAGCCCACCGTGGCTTCCCTTAAATCTAGCAGCAAAGGAGAGAAGAGGCCGAATCATTGGCTGAATCAAGCTAAGACTGAGAACAAGGAAACTGGATGGGAAATGAAGGGGAGGGGCTCAGGGAAGTCTCTAAGAAAATGAGCAACGTGAAAGAAAGATTTTTAAAAAAGAAAAAGAAGGGGTTTTTAAATTCAGAACTTTTTTTCAGTGAGTTTATTTAATCATGACACTTCTATATCATATTAAAAGTTGAGATATTGGAGTAATGTAAAGACTAACTGATGTAAAAATCCAATTTGATCTTGGTAGAATGCACTATTGTTGTTGTTGTTAAGTGCCGTCGAGTTGGTTCCGACCCATAGCGACCCTGTACAAGGTTTCCGAGGGTGTAAATCTTTACGAGAGTAGAAAGCCTCATCTTTCTCCCACGGAGCTGCTGGTAGTTACTAATAAACACCTGTTTTAAAATGTATTCTCACTTTAAGACGTCTAAGAAACAGCCATCTCAAAACTAATCTTGGTTCTGTCATTTTTTACCCCAACAAATACTATTTCACTTTCAGTGGCAAAATTAAAGTAACTTCTTTCTAGCTTAATAACTTATTCCTTTAAAGAAAGACCAAGACTGATCCATTTTAGAATCTCTGCCCCTATCCACCGCACTGGCGTGTCTTATACATGTGTCTGTCCAGAAGCCCTTTGACCTGGGCTTGGCTCAGTGCACAGCAAAGCCCGCCCCTCTCCTTGTTCTCATCTCTCCAGGACATTAGTGACCAGTTTCTAACCATGGTCTCCCTTCCTCCCATCTGGGAAGCCAGCCAGGCACACTGAGGAATCGGCTCATTTGTTGTATATGAAAACAGCAATATATATATATATATATATATTTAAAAGACAGAACAGAAATATAATTTTAGAAATACCCATTTGTCTTGTGCAGTTAGCTGTGGAAATCCCTGTTGTTAGAACAGTTGAGACTTGGGTGCTGCCGTGGGAAAGTGGGTTTTAGAGAAGGGGCACATGCATTGAGCAGAAGCCTGGGGACTGATTTACAGTCTGTAGCAGACCACCACACTTATCCTTTCTTTAAGAAGTGGGTGCTGAAGTTTGCATGCTCAGGTTCTAGAAAGAAAGAAGTGCTTGTGGCTGACACACAAGTGAATTCCAGTGATGTGGTCTCTTCTGCTGAAGTGATGGCTTCAGATCAACGCAAGCTCCTCATACAAGGGACTTTCCAAGAGGCCAAATAGCACTCAAAGAAAACCAATGCAGACCTACTGCCAGCGAGTTCCAACGCATAGCGACCCTACAGAGCAAAGTAGAATGGATCCATGGGGTTTCCGAGGCTGGAAATCTTGACAAAAGCAACCTGCCACATCTTTCTCCCATAGAGCAGCTTTTGTCTGCAGCCCAATACTCAACCCACGGCACCACCAGGCTCTTCAGCACGTGGAGAGCAAGATGCAATCGGTTGTTGGTGGTGGTTGTGTGCCGTGGAGTCACTTCTGACTCATAGCACCCTGTATAGGGTTTCCAAGGCTGTAAATCTTTATGGGAGCAGAAAACCTTAGTAGAAGAAAATTAAGAGTACACTGAATACTCTTTGTTAGAAAAAGAAACTCACTAGAAATAATCATTCACTGAAGAGGGGTGTGTTTCCCTTTAAAAAGCCCTGATGGCCCAGTGAGTAGCCACCTGGCTCCTAACCAGAAGGTTGGAGGGCTGAGTCTGCCAAACGGTGTCTCAGAAGAAAGTCCTGGCAGTCCACTATCACAAAGTCATCCAGTGAACAGCCTATGGAGCATAGTTCTTCTCTGACTTTGCTAGGGTGTCCATGAGCCAGGGTCAACTTCAGCAGCAACTGTAAAACCATGTTACCCTTTAATGTGATACATAGTCTGAGTAACAAGGGGACAATGTCTTCTGGTTGTGCTCAGGTGCCCTTGTACCTCCACCACCCAGGGAAGGTGCTGTCTGGTTCCCGGCTGATTCTCCCAGGACCTTAGTTCATATCCATTGCCCAGAAGGTGCTTAGTAAATACCTGGTGGGCTGTATATTTTGCTAGGCAGCAAAAGAATTTGCTTCCCAGCTTGTATGTTGTTTAGTGCCTTCGAGTTGGTTCTAGCTCATAGCGACCCTGTATAGTAAGTTGTTGTTGTTAAGTGTTGTCAAATGAGTTTCGACCCATTACAACCCTGTGTAGGGTTTCTGAGGAGCAGCTGGTAAGCTTGAACCGATGACTTTGCAGTCCAGCACACTGACCCACAGCAACACACCAGGACTCTGTATAGCAGGGGTGGGGCACTTTTTCTGCCAAAATTTAAAACATCATTCCAAGGTCATATGAAATTATCAAAAATTATCCTGCTATATTTGGTCAGACATATAATTAACTCACCTCTAATGTGATGGCAATGACTTCTGGTGTGGCGATGTAGAATTAGTGGTTAGCAGTTCAAACCCACCAGCTGCTCCTCGGAAACCCTGTACAGGGTGGCTATGAGCCGGAATCGTCTTGATGGCACTTAACAACAAACAACAACAACAATGTGATGGTTAAGGAGTCCTGGTGTGGCGCTCTGGGTTAATGCACTGGACTGCAAGGTCAATCTGAACTGCAAGGTTGGCGGTTCAAGCTTACTAGCTGCTCCTCAGAAACCCTATACAGGGTTGCTATGAGTTGGAACCAACTCTATGGCACTTAACGGTGTTCCCCACTCCTGCTGTATAGGGTTTATGAGGAGCAGCTGGTAGTTTTGAACCATTGACCTTGTGGTTGAGCAACCCAGTGCTTATGCTATAATGCACCCCAGGACTCTTTAGTCTTTAATAACTGAAGCAGCATGAACATACCTCTCTTTCGAGAACTACTTAGACAGGGAAGGAACTGGAAGGAAAATAGGCCTTGGTGAAGCTCCATTTACTGATACAAGAAGACACAGAAATCAGTCTCTTTAGACATGGAAATGCTAAACATAATCCAGGAGAGCTAACTTAGAAAATCCCCATGAAAAGAGACAGTACTTGTACAAACACAGCAATATGTAAGGAGTCCTGGTGTTGCAGCAGTTAAGCACTCAGTTCATATTTACCCAACAGCTCTGAGGAAGAAATACCTGGTTCTTTTAAAGATGGCAGCCTAGAAAGCTGTATGGGGCAGTTCTACGAGCAGAAGTTGCTATGAGGCAGAGTCCATTCGACAACACCCAGCAAAGAGAAGAACGGATGAGTACGGGTAGACACAGAGTGCGCTGTTTGGTACACAGCAAGGCAGAGCTGCCGATAGAATAGTCAGGATGATCACAACAGTGGTCATGGTTTTTCTTTCCTGGATTCTGCTTAGGACAAGCCAGCTCAGCAAAGGCTGACCAGAGCGGGAGCCTGACGGAAATGATGTCTAACCTGGCGTGGGAGTTTGCTGTTAAAGAAGGGTTCCGAGTTTTCACAGAGATGCCACCCAAAAAGCCATCGCTGAGGTCCTTCCACACCCGGGCTGCCTCACAGACCCTGCTGAGCATCACAGGCACGAGGAGTTATGCCTCCTTTGCACAGCCCTCACGGGGTGTCCTGGCCATCTCTCCCGAGGGCCTCTCGCAGCCAGTCAGAGAGCTGTACCACCGGCTGAAGCAGTTCATGGAGCAGCGTGTATACCCTGTGGAGCAAGAGCTGCGGGACCATCAGGCCTCAGCAGAGCGGTGGACACCGTCCCCACTGACCGAGGCCCTCAAGGTAAAGCAGTGTGTGTGCGGGGAGAGGACTGACCCTCTGGCCTCATGGCGAGTTTTATCCCTAGTGTGATGACCCTTGATAGGGCACCTCCAGGTCCTGCCAGATCAGCGACATCTAGAGGTCTCAGGGACAGAGCTAATGAACAACAGGACCCCAGTTCAAGTCCAGATCTTCTGGGCTCCACACCTGGGACTTTCCCCGCTTCAGGAAATACTGACAAAGAGAAGACTGTGCTCACTTCCTTATTCTATCCCTTCTCAGAACTCCCTGGCTCCCTACAGGGCCCATCCCAGTGAATCTGCCCTTCCTCAGGACCCAGGGCAAACAGTAGGCAAGTGTAGTTGATCTTGGGGAGGAGTAAGGCTGAGGATAAGAGTCACTGGAAGTGTGAGCGCAACTAATCACCACGACGGCCCCATGAGGTGGAGTTCGTGCTGCCTGCTGCGTGCCCATCCCCACTTCTCTTGGCAGCAGTACCCTTGTTTCTCTGGGCTGTCTGGAGACAGCCTGGCAGAACCTCCCTGGCCACGGAACGGCATGTGAGTCCACCGGGCCAGTCAGATTCTCCTTTCTTGGGATTTGGATAGTGAGCAGGGTGACAAAAAGACTGGAAACAGTTGATGCTCACACATCACACAGCATTGGGCGTGGCCAGCAGCCTCCCTGCATGGTCCTCTAGGCTCTCTTGGCTCCTGCCCACTGTGAGCCTTATTCTCCATCTTCCTGGGCAGTTGGCGGGCTCACAAGGTCCCTTTCATCTAGCTAGGCAGACTCAGTTTCCATTGCTGCAACATTCTCAGGCTGCGTGATGGAGCGAGTGACTCCCCTGTGTCACCCGAGTTAGTGGAGGGTGGGACTGGGTCTGACCCCAGGTGGGCTGGTCACGCAGGCAGGTGTTACCATGGGGAGAATGAGGCCCTACTTGTCCCAGGAGCAGAATGTCACCTCTAAGAAGAAGCGTGCTTGGGTTCTTCTGTCCACTACGGAAAGGTGCTAAAGTTGCAACTGAAAGAGTGGACAATGGCCACAGTCCTGACTTGCATGAAACTGTGCTCCGTGGGGTTTTCAGTGGCTGGTTTTGGGCAAGTAGATCACCAGGCCTTTCTTCTGAAGTACTCTGATGGACTCAGACCTCTAAACTTTTGGTTCGTAGCTGAGCACATGTGCCATTTGTGCCACCCAGAGACTCTGTGAGCATGTTCTTACAATACTTGGAACTGTAACAATAAATGCTAACCTCAAGGCCAGCAGTTTGAAACTACCAGCCCTTCTGTAGGAGTAAGATGAGGCTTTCTGCTCCTGTAAAGATTTACAGTCTCAGAAATCCTATATGTGGTCGGTATGTGTAGGAACCGACTTCATGGCGCATAACCACCACCACCAAACACTAGTAATGACGGCATAAGGAATAAGTGGGCGTCTGGGGTGTGACGAGTTGGGGACACTGTGGCCGTAGGACTCAGGCATAAGCCCCCTAGAAAGCCACAGAGTTTCTGTCCAGCCCTGCATTATGGACTCGGGTGGTTGGTTGGGGCACACGCTTCCTCTTTGGCGGTCCTCGGTGATAGCATTCACTGTGGTTCTCTGATCTCTGTTTCCTATGACAGGAAAAAGCCAAGGCCGAAGGACTCTGGAACCTCTTCCTACCCTTGGAGACCGACCCCGAGAAGAAGTATGGGGCAGGCCTGACCAACGTCGAATATGCACACTTGTGTGAACTCATGGGCATGTCCCTGTATGCTGCAGAGGTACCAGCTGTAATGCTTCCTGGACACCCAACAATGTCCTAGAGCCACTCTCCCAGTCACTCCCACAAGAACAGAGTCTCTGCAAGAGAGCCACTTGGGGGTTTGCATTGTGTTATTTGGCAGATCTGGGGTGGCAATTTTGGTATCAGATAAAATAGTCTAAATCAATTGTAAGAAACAAGGAAGAGCATTATATAATGATAAAAGGGTCAACTTGATAAGAACATACACAATTATGAATTTAAATGCACCCTACCTTCAAAGCCCCAAGGGTAGTATCTGCATTTCTCTAGGGAGAAGAACTTGCCTTACATGGCCAGAGGGGTCCTGCTCCACTGCTTCCAGGCATTTGAAGTCCTAAGTGTGCTGAGGGGTTAATGTTAGGCCCTTTCTCCTTTGCAGATCTTTAACTGCTCTGCTCCAGACACAGGGAACATGGACCTTCTGGTGCAGTATGGCACCGAGGAGCAGAAGGCCCGCTGGCTGGTGCCTCTGTTGGAGGGCAGGGCCCGCTCCTGCTTTGCCATGACGGAGCCCCAGGTACTGTGTGTGCATGGCCACCAGCCCCCGGAGGCCTCTTAGTAGTAGGCGGGGCCCTCGCCAGCAGGCCCTGTGCAGGCTCTGACTGCAGTGTGCCCCCACCAGGTTGCTTCGTCAGATGCCACCAACATCGAGTCGTCCATCAGAGAAGAGAAGGACTGCTATGTCATAAATGGTCACAAGTGGTGGATCTCAGGTACTTGGGCTGAAGGTCACGTTCTCATCACGCCGCACTGTGTCTGTTTCGCCCTTCCTTATGCCCAGTGATGGGGACCATTTTTCAGCAAGTGCAAAGGAAAGCTGTCCCTGTGCCCAGCCAGGGCACAAACCCTGTGAGAACCATGAGGAGTGCGTGGTCCTCCAGGGCTGCTGTACGGGGGTGCCATGGGGGTGCCCAGCTCCCCCTGCACGCATCTCGGGATCTCTCACTCTTCCCCGCCTGCTTTCCAGTCTACTGTGGCTACCTCCCTTTGGAAATGTACTTCTTGTCCTGCTCTCCTTGATCAGGACCATTCTATCATGAGGGCTGCTAGAATTTTGAACAGGCTTCAGCAGAACTCCCAGACTCACATGGAGTAGGAAGCAAGGTCTGGCAATCTGCTTCCAAAAATCAGCCAGTGAATACCTATGAACACGGTGATTGGATGTGGGAATGGTACAGGGCCAGGCATTGTTTTGTTCTGTTAGGCACGGGTCCACCACGATTTGGGGGCCAACTCCACGGCAGCTCACATCCACCTGCCATGAGGCATGAGAGCCCTCCCAAGTCCTGTGTGTGCCCCATAACTCCCAGAGGGATGGATACCTGTCTCCATTCACAGCAGAGGAAACTGGGCCTCAGAGAATAACTGGCCTGGGTACAGCCCTCTGCCCCCAGGAAGTAGGGAACCAACATTACAGTCTGCCGCACTGTGAAGCCCGTGTCAAAGCCAGCGGGACCAGAGCAGGGACAGAATAACAGCAGTTTTCACTGTCTTGTCTCTGTTATATGTTCGCCTCTACAGGATGCTTTTTGAAAAAAAAAATTGATAAGAGCACATCAACGCTCTTAGGGCCTTGGTTAAAGGAGGACTGGTGGTTTCTAAAGAGGGGACTACTCTTTCTCCTCTTCTGGCAGGTATCCTGGATCCTCGCTGCCAACTCTGCGTGTTTATGGGGAAAACAGACCCACAGGCCCCACGCCACCAGCAGCAATCAGTGCTCCTGGTCCCCATGGAGACCCCAGGGATCAAAGTTGTCCGACCACTGACAGTATATGGACTGGAGGATGCACCAGGTCAGCCCAAACACCAAAGCAGCACCTCTGTGGGGTGGGATTGGGTCTCAGGGAAGTGACTTGGGCTTAGTTCCAGGTGTGGCAACATCTGGAGGGCTGGCTACTCACCCTGCAGATGGGCTCTCTGGAATTTTTTCATGTTCTTAACGGACTTAGGAGATAAGCCTAAGTGTGCAAGAACAGAGACCTCCAAAGACAGCCTAGGGAAGCAGGGCGTGCACCCCACAACCGCTCTACTCTCTTGTTCCCTGAACCCAGGGAAATGAAGAGCTGAGCCCAGGCCTCTCAAAGGTCTCTTTGTCTCAGCTAAAAATATTCACATTTTCTGCTAAGCATTTCCACAGGATGACTACACTGTACGGTTGCAAACTCTGAAAGCCTTTCAATGTAAGGTACAGTCATCATGTTTTATAAGAGGAGTGGCAAAATACTCATGTGACATTGCAAAGCCAGACCACTGCTGTCAACCTCTCCAACCATGTCCCAGTTTAAGTGTTAAATTGTTGTTGTTGTTGTTGTGTGCCATCGAGTCGGTTCTGACCCATAGCGACCCTGTATAGGGTTTCCGAGGGTGTAAATCTTTACGGGAGTAGAAAGCCTCATCTTTCTCCCGCGGAGCAGCTGGTAGTTTCGAACCGCTGACCTTAAGGTTCGCAGCCCGATTCGTAACCACTACGCTATTAGCCACACACAAAAAAAGCCAAAAGCAAACCCACTGCCATCAAGTGGATTCTGATTCATAGCAACTGTACAGGACAAAGTGTAACTTCTTAAGGTTCCAAGAAGAACTCTCCACAGCGGTAGACAGCTTCCTTTTCCTCCCACACGGAACCACTGACCTACCAGTTAGCAGCCACCAGGACTCCAGGGTTAAATAAAGGGATAATGAGGTGACCTGAGGCAAGGAATAACCAGTCATTAGAAGCCAGTATGGCAGGTTGCTCATGATGATGTATTTGGGTCTTTCAGGTGGCCATGGGGAAGTCCTGTTTGAGGAGGTGCGTGTACCCAAGGAGAACATGGTCCTGGGCCCAGGCCGTGGCTTCGAGATCGCCCAAGGCAGGCTGGGCCCCGGAAGGATCCACCACTGCATGAGGCTGATTGGGTTTTCAGAGAGGGCCCTGGCGCTCATGAAGGCCCGCGTGAGTTAGGGTTAATTTGCAGGCTCCTTTTGCTCCACCACTGACCCAGAACCACCATATGCCATTCTTGTCAAGGAGATGCTGTGTCCCTGTTTTTGCCAAAGTTTGAAATTCAGAGAGGAATAGGCCCTGCTCTGTCCCCATGACCACAAGGAGCAGGTTGAGGGCAGTGTTTCAAGGTCCAAAGATTCACAGGCTGTTGGTTGCCAGGCATGCTCCCAGCACATGGTTAAACATCAGATACAGGAGAAGTGCATGAATTACTTTGGCCCTGGGCTCTGTAAAACCCTATCCTCTCCATCCCAGGAGGCCTAGAATTGTGGCCATCCAGCCTCTCCTGCCCAGGCCCTGGAGAGCCATTGGCCAAACACAGAGCTCTTTTGCCAAGAACAAGAGTGAATCACTTTACTGGTACCGATTTCACAGAGATGCAACAAACCTTGGAGACCAAATGTCTCCCAAGAAGCTAGACACAGAACAAAATCTATGCAGAGATGACTGGGGGTGGGATGACTGAACTGACAATCTGTGCTTCACACCCTTCTGAGAGGAGGACTGACCAGTCCTTGTTCCTTAGAAAACAAAATCCAGTCTCTGTATGGGCCACTTAGTGCAGGCAGCCACACTGAATCGCCACCTTCCTGGAGGATGACTTGGCAGTCTGTGTCTCAAGTCTCCAGAAAGTCTGCAGCATTTGCATGGCAGTTACAAGCTTGATGGTAAGGGAATAATTGAAATTCACAAAAGATTTGATCTATCCAAGGAAGTTCAACAAAACACTGATGATCACAGTAAGACTTCGGGAACAGACTACCTACCAGCTCACAATGGGAAGATGTGTCCGTTAACCAGGTACAAGTGTGCAGTGAGGCTATAAGATGACACGTAGTGATCTGCTTCTTAGACAATATATTAAATGAAAAGGACAGCTTACAAAACACTATATTAACCTTTTTGCCATTTTTATTTTAAAAAACACAAAGAACAGACCCTATAGGACAGTAAAACTGCCCCACAGGGCTCCCGAGTCTGTCATCTTTATGGAAACAGACTGTGACTGGTGGGTACAGTTAGCAGCCCAGTACTTAGCCAACGGTACCACCTGGGTTCCTTCATATATGTGCATACAAAAAGTCAAGCAACAGCCACTAAATGTTACCCAGAAGTAACTAGAGGGTGGGATTCTGAGTAATTTTTTCCCTTTTTCTGGACTGAATATGTATATATATTTTTTCCCATGAGATATACTGTTGCTGTGCACATAACAACAACAGTGGCACTGTGGGTGAAGCACTGGGCAGTTTATACTCACCAGCTGCTCTTCAGGAGAAAGAGGAGCCCATCTGCTCCTGTAAAGATCACAGAAACGATATCACATCGCTACCATTTGGAATCGGATTAAAGTGGTTAGTGGTGGTAACAGTTGTTTTAGTGAAAAAAGAAGAGAGAATACTTTATAACCTTTCCTGATGCCTTGTGCTCTTCTGAATCAAGTCACCATCATTGATAAAAGCTGTCCACAAGGGGGCGCTGGCACCTGGTTTTCCTCCTGAAGACATTCTGGAAAGAATGGCTGGTGTGGGGTCAGTAGAGGACGCCCTCACCCAGTGGCGCGTGACGTTCCGCAGGCAGCAACTACTCTGGAAGTCTCAGAAGAGCTGCCTTCTACTATGCTAGCTCAGAAATCCCACATTTCCATATACAATCTATATCCTGAAAAATGTCTATCTGTTGAACAGCCATACTCTGATTCTGCATCCCCAGTACTTAAAAACCACACTGTTGTGCACTGGAGTCCTGGTGTAGAGCTAGACGATCAGCACTGGGAATCACAAAGTCAGCAATTCACAACCACTAGCTGTTCCTTGGAAACCCTATACAGGGTTTCTGTGAGTTGGAACCAACTTGATGGCACTGTGACAAAAGCAACTTTTGTACCATCAGAGGAGGAGCGCTGGTAGCGCTGTAGGATAAGCACTGAACTGCTAACCTTGGTGTCAACAGTTCAAACCCACCAGGTTGCTCCGCAGGAAAAAGATGAGGTTGTCTACTCCTGCAAATATTTACAACCTTGGAAACTCTATAGTATGAGTTGGAATTGACTTGATGGAATTGAGTTTTGTTTTTTTTATAATCACAGATACATTATTGTGTTTGTTCATAATCCCTTAATTTATGAACTGCACTAACAGTGATTAAAAAAAGAAGAGAGATAGAAGCCTTTGCCAGTTTGTCCATCCAGGCAGAGAGAAGTGTGCTATGCCTGGGAGCCAGGAGGTTCAGTGCCGCATAAACAGGTCCCAGGACCCAACTTGAGTCATCACATGGTACGAGTGACTGCTGTCTGCCTCTGCATCTTGGCTCTGGGGACTCCTGAGGCTGGAGAACTCATCCATCAGCAGACAGGCTACAGGCTTCTGCTTTCCTGCTTTCCCATCCTGCCCCAAGCCAGGCCTACCTTCTTCCGTGTGTTTGTCCAACACCCCCATACCCCTCAGCTGCGGTGGCACCCTCAGTCCGGCCTGTCCTTAATCCTGTGTCTCCTATGTCAACAGATAAAGTCCCGAGTGGCCTTTGGGAAACCCCTGGTTGAGCAAGGCACACTTCTGGCAGACATTGCTCAGTCTCGGGTAGAAATCGAGCAGGCCCGGCTGTTGGTGCTCAAAGCTGCCCACCTCATGGACGTGACCGGAAATAAGGTAGATGTTCCTGGAGGGTTTTACAGATGGCAGGTCTGGGAGAGGGAACTGATCCTGGGGATCCAAAGGCACTGACCTTGACCTGTTGAACTGGGTCCAAATGAGTGGGCCTGATGGGGCACATGGTCCCCTGGTCTCAGCTGCCAGGCCTTGTTGGCATTGGTGATGGGCAAACTAAGGAAGCAAGGGACAAGGGACCTTCTACTGGCCTCAACCGAAATACAGAATCAGCCAGAATAGATTATTTTCAAACTTGATGTTTTTCATTCAACAGCCATTGGTGAGTACCCAAGGTGGCCCCTGTGTGGTCTGGTGTTTGTGGGTGGCCTCCACTTCTGGGCTGAGATGCTCAGCAGGGACAACCCAGGCTACCTTCTTGGTGTCTTGGCACCCTGGTGCCAGGTGTGGTGGAGGCTCTCCAAGCACCTCTCTGTAATGCCCTGTCCCCATGTAGGTCCTTGGGCTCACTTTCCCAAAGCTTGACTGGCCTTGGCCTTGGCGCTCTGTTAGTTGGAGATGAAGCTGGCCATGACCCTGGGAAGTCTGTGTTCCTGAGTCTGTTCATTATCAAGCACTCGCTTCCTGTCTCAACATTGTTAAACAATCCCCCTGTGGCCACCCTGTGCCTGCCCGATCCCTCGTTCCTCCGGGGCTCACCCCATCTTTGTTGAGTTCTTATTCTTACTTCTCTGTCCAGTGGTTGTTTTCCAGGGCACCTGCCCTCAGGCATGTCCTCATGACCCATTCTTCCCTCTTCCTCACAGGCTGCAGCCTTGGACATCGCCATGATTAAAATGGTAGCCCCATCCATGGCCTGCCGAGTTATCGATCGTGCAATTCAGGTAATCATGCACAGTGAGTGAACGTGATTCAGCTTCCCCAGGGCCTGTCAGCGCCAGCTGCTGTCCCTTATCACAGAGTCATTTTGTGCTCCTCCTCATAACTGCCCGGTGAAGTAGACCCACTATTCCTATTTGGAATATGAGGCAACAGAGGCCCAGAAAGGTCATGTGATCTGACCAAGGTCACTGAGCTTGCGAGTGGTCGGACTTGGACTGATAGGACCTTACATGGGTGTAACACCACAGCCCAGCCTGGGGTCTTGCAGGGAGGCCCCTTCTACATCTTACACCAGGGCCCCGTAGAAGTTCCCGGTACAGAGCAGACTCTGGAAGTGTGGCTCCACATCAGATCTTCCACAGCAGCTGTGAGACCCCAGTATTTGAGGAGGCATCCCAGAACGCTGCTCTGACAAGCAGGCAGGACCTCCGAGATGAGGGCTCACACAGGCTTTTTCATGCTTTGCCAGGCCTTTGGAGCAGCAGGGCTGAGTGGAGACTACCCACTGGCTCACTTCTTCACCTGGGCCCGGGCGCTGCGCTTTGCTGATGGTCCCGACGAGGTACACCGGGCTGCTGTGGCCAAGATGGAGTTGAAGTCCCGCACTTAGGCCCTCGGGACTGAGTCCCCGCTGGGCCAGCCGCCACCCTCAGCTGAGACAACATGGTATGAAAAGTCCAGCTGTGTGATCCCGGCCTCCTGCCTACCAGCTCAATCCTGGGACAGCCACTGCGTTCTCACCCTCCCGGGGTGGGGGTGGGTAGGCTCCACAGAAGACATTTCTGTAGAAGCCCTAAGTCTGCATTTCAGGCCGGGAGCTGGGGGACAGTTGGTGCAGAGTCTGGGAAGCTGGTCTTTAGGCCCTGACACCCCACCCCTGGCTGTGGTGTGAGGCTGTGGGAACCCTGCCAAAGCTGTGTCCATGCTTGCTTTAGAAACGGCTGCCTCCTGCCCCGTGGGTCCTCCTGAAAGACCCAGGGTGGAAGTACTGCTGGGAAGTGGATGAAACCCAAATTGTGATATTCTTTGGACTGTCCACCACAGAACACTAGTTAACGTGCAATTTTGAAAAGGGGCTGTGAAGGCACAAAAGAATTAAAAAGAAAATACATCCAAAATATCCTGAACTTTCTGTGTCACTAAAAGGACTTGAGAATAAAGACTTGCTTTTCAGCCCCTTGGTTCACACGTGTGTGGCCTTCTTGCCCCTGGTGCTTCTGGTCTGTGGGGTCCTGTCATTGCACAGCCCCCCAGAGCAGGCGCAGATGCTGCTTTGTCGCTGCTTTGCTCAGAGCACTTGTGCTCGTGGCACTTTGTCCTTACTGGAGTGTTCTGTGGTGCCCTGTGCTGTGTTCTAAGGGAGGGGAGCTAGCAGACAGTGTGCCACCGATGTTCAGAGAGCACTACTCTCCCCGCAGAGGAAAGTGGAAACTCTCTCTTAGGAGGTCTGAGTTCTCTGTAGCCACCAGCTTCTGAGAAGGGGGTGTCCAGTGATAAATCTCGGGCTGTTAGGGCTCAGCCTGCTGGCCTCATTATCAGTGGTGCTGTGGCCAAGCCTGCCCAGTTTGGTCAGGTAGACCAGCTCCTATCATGGAGTGGACCTCCTCACAGGAACAGCTTTACATGGAAGAAGGCCCACCTGCTGTAGCCAGGGCTGTGCGCCTTCCATCTTTGTGGGGTTGGTGGGAGGCACCCAGATCTTGTCTGAGCCAGGCCTTCTCAGACCACACTTGAGAAACTGCCTATGAAAGTTTAAGACAAATTCAAACCCAAGCCAAACTGCGACCACACCATCAGCCACACTGGCAGCCTGCATTCTTGTTTGGGCCTCAGGAGGGAGGAGGGGTTTCAGAAAGAGGAAGTGCCTTGGTGAGCAGCCTAGCATATCACGTGGCCCTTGGAATTTGTCTCCTGGCCTCTGAGATTAACCTTATTTGTTAAACAGTGCAGCTGCAGAGAGAAAAACAAGCTGAGCTCTGGGGGTGAACCCTCATATCCCTCAGACTTTCTGCTATAAAGGCAGGTGGCATTTGTGGCCTGGGAAAAGGCAGCCACAGAGGAGGCCTCCAGCAACTTCTCGTTTTGGGGTTCTAGTTCTGTTAGATAATCCACTCGCCGCTGATTGAGGCCTGATGTTAGGCCAGGCTCTGTTTTGGTGGCCATGTCATGGCCAAATAGAGGTGTGTTCTCACAGAGGGAGTACGCGTCTCCCTCGGGGGACGGTGCTAATTGCCACAAAGACCACAACAGGTAATGGGGAAGATGCTCTGGTGGGGGCTCAGGGAAGGACTCTTTCCAGATGAAACATTTGTTGTTGTTGTTATTAAGCGCCGTTGAGTCGATCCCGACCCATAGCAACCCTGTGTAGGGTTTTCGAGGAGCAGCTGGTGAGCTTGAACCACCAACCTTGCAGTTGAGATGGCTTTGCTGTCTGGCGCATTAACCCACACCACCACACCAAGACCTAAATGACAAGGAGAGAGGGCAAGAGCACTTCCAGGAGGAGGAACAAATGCAAGGGCCTGGGGCATAGCTCAGTGTATCTGAGGACAAGCAGGAGCTGAGGTGGGGAAGCTAAGTCCAGTGCCAGGTCACCTGGGGCCTCATGGCTTCAGTACAAGGTTTGGTGTTGACTCTTAAGTGTGACAAGGTGGTAAATCCAGGTAATGGTGTGACACAACCTGATTTCCTATTGTTAGGAACCATCAAGTGGGTTCCTAGGTTCCTACATGCATAACCAGACAAAAGGCTACCCAGCTCGGCACCAGCCTCACCATAGTAGCTATGTTTGAGCTCAGTGTGGAAACCACTGTGTCAGTCTGTCTCATTGGGGGTCTCCATCTTTTTTGCTAACTCTCTACCAAACATGATACTCTTCTCCAGGAAATGGCTCCTCCTGAGAACAAGTCCAATATATGTGAGCTGAAGTCTTGCCATCTCTGCTTCTAAAGATGTCCTTCTTCCCAGACAGGTCTGGCAGGCCATTATATACTCAATATTCTTCACTAACACCATAATTCAAACACACCAAGTCTTCACTGGTCTGCCTTACTGTCCAGCTTTCGCATGCATATGAGATGATTGCTTGGCTTGGATTAGGCACACCTTGGTCCACAAAGTAATCTCTTTGTTGTTTTTTTAACACTTTAACGAGGTCTTTTGTAGCAGATTTGCCCAATGATTTCTTGACCGCTGCATCCATGGGAGTTGATTGTGGATCCATGTAAAATAAAATCCTTGATGTGAACAGTCTACATATTTATCGTGATGTTGCTCATTGGTCCAGTTGGTGGTCTGTTCTGCAGTCGGCCCCAGGCCTTGTTCTGATGCATACTTTTGAGCTTGTCTGCCATCTCTTTTCACACATGTAGTCTATTTGATTCCCGTGTATTCCATTCAGTGAGGTCCACACGGATAGTTGAATGATGGGAGGGAAGTAGGAAAGGTGAGTTTGCTGGCAGATCACCTGGGACCTCATTGGCCTTCGTAAGGGATTTGGTGTTGATTCCAAATGTAACAAAGCAATGAACTTAGGTAGTAGCATGACATGACCTGATTTGGGTTTTAAAAAGCCTACAAGGACCCAAAGTGTGAGTGGCTGAAGATGGAATAGCGTAGGTGCAGTTGCCTCATTGCAGAAGGCACCAAAAACAAAAACAGAAAAGCCCCACCTGCAAAAGGTTTTTAAAAAGGAGTGTACAAAGATAAGTGCAGAAGATTCAGAGGACCGGAATAAAAGACAGCCTAACTGCTGCTAATCCCACCACCTTCATGGTTAGCAGACACCTGGCATTTCTGGTTGACCAGATGTGGGCAGTACTGTGCTCTGTGTGGAGTAGAGACGAATGCTGTGGGCATGGGTGCACACTTGGCATGATGTCTGTGGCTCAACAATGATCGTGCCTGACCAGTTTGATTTGTGGAGGCCTCAATATCTTGCCACCATTCCTACATGGCTGGGCCCGTCTTCTGATGAGCTTGTCCCAGGAAAGGGAACAAAAGATGATCACGACATATGGATGTGTTTGTTTCCCACAGCAGTTTCCCAAAGTAACTGAACGTATGTTCTGTGCTCCACTCCTCAGGGTGGGACTTCCCTGGAATTAAGCCCACTCCAGATATCTCATGATGATGGAAGCCTCTCCATTGAGGTTCCATGGGAACCTTGTATTGACATGTGGTCTTGGCACCCACAAGCTGCCTGCATGCCCCCAAGCCCTGAGGTCAGATCATTTTAGGATAATCATTTAGAGGCTGAAAGAAGGTGGCATACCAGGTAACTTGCCAAGCAGCCCCACCTGCTGTTTTGGGTGGGTGTGTTGGGATTGTCTGGTCTGTCACCACCAAGCTCTCAAGTCCCCTAGGGTTGCCTCAGGAAAGTCTGGGCAGTATTGATGCTTGCCTCTCTGCAGTCCCTCAGCAAGACCTGCAGTGTGCCCCCAGCAGAGCATTGGCTGGGCATCCTTCAAGGCACATCTGGAGGAGTCACTATGCTGCCAGATGCCACAGGTCTCCTCTCGGTCAAACCTGCCAACATCTGTGAGCATGGGAGCAGAAAAATGTGGGAGTCCCCAGCTCCACCCACTTGGGCCAAGACCTAGTGCCAATCCACTTAGCTGGGAGCAGCTTCTGGGAGCAGTTTCACAAGGCTGACTGAGCAGAGGTGTGGCCTGAGGGGTGAAGAGCTGCTGTCTGGATTCAAGCAGCCTGGGTTCAAATCATAGACTACCTTGGGACGAGGAGAGAGACATCAGTACTCACCCTCCAGGGATGAGGATTAACTGAAATGACGAATGCCTACAATAAACCTGGCGCTCATGCCTGTATTCACATGTGGCTGAAGTCGGGAAGGGGGTTCAGTGAAAGATGAGGAGGCTGTGCTAAAGTTAGGGTACAGGCCTAGGGAGGCTCCATCAGGGTTGAGGATCAGCTTGGATGGGCTCAGACTGCCACAATTCTCAAACATTACTGTGCCAAGGGACCACCAGGAGGCCTGATGGAAGTGGAGGGTTGATTCAGGAGGTCTTTCTAGCATGTTCCCAGGTGAGGGTCATGCTCCCTCTTTGGGGGCCACACTTTGAGTGGAAGGAGAATGGCTTCACTCTGCTGATCTGATCACCTGGGAATGAGGAGGCACCACCTGGATGTGATGATTGACAGATTGTGGATCAATGGGTAGAAAGACAGATGATAGATGATAAATGACAGATGATTAGTTGGTTGGTTATGTGCCGTGGAGTCGGTTCCGACTCATCGCGACCCTGTACAAGGTTTCTGAGGCTATAAATCTTTATGGGAGCAGACAGTCTCATCTTTCTCCCGTGGAACAGCTGGTAGTTTCGAACTGCTGACCTTGAGGTTAGCAGCCCGACTCGTAACCACTAGGCTACCAGAGCTCCTTAGAGAATTGATAGGTAGATTGATAAATGATAGATTGATGATGGTAGATATATAGATATAGATAGATACAGTCCATAGATAGAAAGGTAAAAAGCTGCCATCAAGGTCACTTCATTTCACAGTTACGTCATGTACCACAGAAAGAAGTATTGCCCATCTGTGTCCTCCTCACATTGCTGCATGTTCATCGACTGTGTCTATCCATTTCTCGGAGGTGCCTCCTTGTCCACGCTGACCCTCTACTTCACCAAACACAATACCCTTCTCCAGTGATTGTCCAAAGGAAGCAAGTTAGATACCGTTTTGTTGTGATCCATAGATTCTCAGTGGCTAATTGTTGGAAGAGGCCACCCAGGCCTGTCTTCCTAGTGTGTCTTGCTCTGAGAGCTCTGCTGAAACCAGTTCACCATGGATAACCTTGCTGGTATTTGAAATCCTGGTGGCATACTTTCCAGCATCCTAACAACACACAGTCCTGGTGTGGCGCTGTGGGTTAATGCGCCAGACTGCAATGTTGGCGGTTCAAGCTCACCAGCTGCTCCTCGGAAACCCTGTACAGGGTCGCTATGGGTTGGAACCGACTCAACGGCACTTAACAACAACAACAACAACATACAAATCACCACGGTACAAAATACAGAGACTGTTGTGAATTAGCTACTAGGCATATGAGTATATATATTATTTTGAATCTTAAAAGTTAGCAGATACTTTTCTTCTTCCCATCATTGTGATAAAGAGACTGAAGTGCAAAAAGATTACATGATTTACCCCAAATTCCACACTAATCAGTGAGTGAATTGAAAGCTACGCTTGGAAGATTCTGAGGCCTGTTCCACTACGAAGCATGCACGCTCAGGTTCTCTAAGGAGAGTCCTGGTGTGGTGCTGTGGGTAAATGCGCTGGACTGCAAAGTCAGTTTGATCCACAAGGTTGTAGTTCAAGCTCACTAGCTGCTCCTTGGAAACCCTATACAGGGTCACTATGGGTTGGAAGTGACTAGACAGCACTTAACAGGAACAAAACAACAAAGGAGAGTCCTGGTGTGGCGCTGTAGGATAAATGCACTAGACCACAAATTCAGTTTCAACTGTTAAGATTGGCAGCTCAAATCCACCAGCTGCTCCTCGGAAATCCTACACTGGGTTGCTATGAGTGGGAATTGACTCAATGGCACTAAACAACAATAAGGGGCTTCCAAAGACCCCTGGTGGTGCAGTGGATAAGCTCTTGGCTGCTAACCAAAAGGTCAGCAGTTCAGGAGTTTGAACCCACCAGTTGCTCTACAAAAGAATATGGAAGTCTGCTTAAGTGAAGGTTACAGCTATGGAGACCTTTTGGGGCAGTTCTACTCTGTCCTACAGTATAAACGCATAATGAGTCTGAAATGACCCCGTGGTAACAGGATTTGTGTGTGTGTGTTTTGAAAAAGGGGCTTCCTGAGAAGCAGGCTGGCTGCCTCAGTTTGAAGAGGAAGAGGAAAAAGATGCCCAGCCATCCAAGGAGAACATTCCTTGCCTTGAAGAAAATTCATAAATTGCTCCTAACATTCTATTTCAAAGGCCAACTAATTTTGGAAGTAGCTCCTACCTGCTTAGGGATCATGTGTGTTTACATGCAGCGTGGGCTGCCCCTATGGGGTATGTTGAGCCAGTTGTATATGGACATTTCTGTGTGTGTGCCAACAAGGAAGGCAGCTGGAAATAGGGCTGGACCACATTTTCCCTCCTGCTTGGGAACCTGTCTTCATGCTTAAATGTTGCTCTGAGTTTCCCCACTTAACCATCCATTGTTTGTAAAGACAAGCAGAAATTAGACGCAGTCTGTGTCCCAGAACAGACTCAACAGCCATGTCTCATCTCCCCAGTGACCCTGAGCAAGCAAGAGGAACTGAGAACACACAACTGAACCCTGACTATGTAATGTTTTAGAGTATTTCATAGCTAAGGACCAATGTACGTTCTAAGAGGAAGCGAAGTGACCATTTCTCTCCCAAAGCAGGGTGTGTCTCCACAAGCTCTCAGATCTATGAGAGCACAGCAGATACGCCTGGGAAAGGGTTCCTAGCCCCACCTAATGCAACACACTCAAGAGACTTGTGGCTCGCTCCTTTCTCCCCTGGCCTCTGAGGGTCCGTTGCGTTTGCCAGCTCTGTTGCTGGCAAGGAGTCAGTCCATAGTCTCAGTTACCCAGATGTACCCCTTCCCTCCTTTCTCTGCTGTCACAACAGGAGCATCTTGGCCCCAGCGTGGCACTCCCCTCCTTGGTTCTGCTGATTCTCATATGACAGAAATGCACGTGTTTGGCCCTGTGTGTCCATCTCCCTTCTACCCAGTGCCCCACACTCTTCCCTGAGCCAGAGTGAAAACCCTTGTCTTTATTCTCATAAAACGAGAAGCAAGCCATAGTTTCAAAATGTAAATCAAGCAAGTCATCTATCCCCACTTCCTCACCACTGCCCCTCAGACCCCACCACACCTGCTATGGACTCTATTCTATCCATCTCTCAACACAGGCCAGACTGGGCCTACTTGCTGGTCTCTCTCAGTGGAATTTTCTTCTTTACATTAAACCGTAACTATATATATGCGACAGGCTGCTAAACACAAGGTCAGCAATTCGAATCCACCAGCCACTTCGCAGGAGAAAGTGAGGTTTTCTGTTCCTGTAAAGAATTACAGCCTCAGAAACCATATACAGGATCACTATGAGCCAGAACTGACTCCACACACACAGCTACCACAGGTGTGGTGTGGCACTGTGGGTTAATGCTCTGGACTGTAAGGTCGGTTTGAACCGCAAGGTTGGTGGTTCAAGTTCACCAGCCCACTCCTCAGAAACCCTATACAGAATCACTATGAGTTGGAAACAACTTGAGGACACTTAACAACAATACATGCTGTTAACTGCCATTGAATCAATTCTGACTCATAGTGTACCTGTATAGGTTTCCAAGGAGTGGCTGATGGGTTTGAACTACCCAACTTGAGGTTAGCAGTCCAGTGCTTATCCCAAACCAGTAAATTCACCCAAACAGGGACTTGAATCCTGGACCCTCTGTTTAAAAGTCTGATGCTCTACTGAAGGAGTTATCTGGGCTGTTTATTCTTCTATATCTGAGTCCTGGTGTGGTGCTGTAGGAGAAAGCACAGGACCACAAGGTCGGTTTGAACTATGAAGTTGACAGTTCAAACTCACCAGCTACTTCTTTGAAATCCTATACAGGGTCATTATGGGTCGGAACTGACTGGACGGCATTTAACAACAACATTGTTATGTATCTATATTTGTATATAAGGAGCTCTGGTAGCGCAGTGGTTACAAGGTTACAAATCAGGCTGTGAACCACAAGGTCAGCAGTTCGAAACTACCAGCTGCTCCGCAGAAGAAAGATGAGGCTTTCTGCTCCTGTAAAGATTTACAGCCTTGGAAACCCTGTTGAGGGTTGCTATGAGTCGGAACCAACTCCACGGCAATTAAAAACAACAACATATCTGTATACATTTGTATTTTCAGGAGAAATGTCCACAGCAAAATAGGTTCTCATTCAACAGTTTCTACATATTCTGTTGGGTGACATTGGTTTACATTCTTCACACATTGGTTTACATTCTTCACACGGGGTCAACATTTCCTTACATCCTGCCCAACTCCATCTCTTCATCCAGGTCTCAGAGTCACTTCCTGACCTGGTGTTTGTAAGCAGTGCCCTCTGTCCCAGGCACCTTATCTCCCTCTGCATGTCTTCCACAGTCCCTGCCACTACCTGAAACGGAAGGACTCCTGGTGTGGCCCCCGTAGGATCAGCACTGGACTGCGAACCACAAGGTCAGCAGTTTAAATCTACCAGCTGCTCCTCAGGAACCCTATACAGGGTCGCTATGAGTCCGAACCGACTGGATGGCATTTTACAACAACAATCTGAAACGGAGTACTAGGTGACACTGTAGGATACGCACTGGACTGCTAACCACAAGGTTGGCAGTTCAAACCAACCAGCCGCTATTGGAAACCATACATAGGGTCGCTATGAGTTGGAAACCACGCACTTAACAACAGCATCTGAAACCAGCTTGTGTTTGGCACACGAAAGGATTTCTGCCTGCTGAGTTCAAGAGGTCGTTCCACCTACCATGCGAGGAGGGCAAGTCAGCTGACTGGCAAAGGGCAGCGGGCCCACAGTCCAACCATATCCCCCCCCACCGGCCGCGTGTCCCCAACCCTATAGTGTGGCAGGCCCTCCCCTTGTCCCGCCCCGCGCCTACCATTGGTGGTCTAGAGGGGGCGTGGTGAGGTAACTGCTTAGTGGCCCTGTCGGCCACACAGCATACGCATTTGCGCTCCGCTCTGTTCTGCCGCAGCATGTTGCGCGCAGTCTTACAGGCCGCCACCGACCACGGGCTCCTTCTGGGCCGCCGCTTCCTGTCTGCCGCTGCCATCCAGGCCGTGCCAGCGCCGAATCAGCAGCCCGAGATCTTCTACAATAAGGTGAACCGCCCTCCGCCCGGCCCAATCAGGCCATGCTTTGTTCCGCGCCCGGACTTCATTGAGCACCTGGCGATTTTGCCTGGTCTCTTCCTCAGCCCTCCCTGAGACTTCAGTTTACCCATTTCGGTCTCGAGGGCTTTGCTCTGATTGGTTGTTGCGCACACCCCTTCCTTCGAGCGTCTTCACCCCTTTGCGCCTGACTGTCCACGTTCCTTTGTGCCATCGAGACTTGGGGCGCTCACTGGTCTTTATCCAGTCGCGTTCGCTGTTCAGCTCCGAGTTCCGGAGCCGTCTGGCCCCCTGGTCGTGCTGTTACCTGCACAGGGTCCTTACCATCACCCACACAGACGTCTTCACTTGCTTATCTCTTTCCCTTTTATCATGATTGCGTGCAGCCAAGTTCAAACCGAAAGGCGAACTCCCGGAGGGTCGGAGGGATCATTTCAGCTAAGGCCTGCAATTGGTCAGGCGAGGTCAAAGCCACTCTGGGCTGGTGGCAAGGGTCTGGGACCTTGGCCTCTATCCGCAGCGCCCTTCCTAAACTGTGTTTGTGTGACTTGCAAGGGGCTGGTTTTCCTTTCATCGACCAAAGAGAGACTTTCCGGGGCAGAAATCCAAATACAGGGACAGGTTTCTTGCCCATCTTGGTCTTTGGAACATTTTCTTTTCTGATATTTGGGTTTGGGTGAAGGAGAAGGGCAGGAAGTTGTAGACTGGTTATGAAAGCGTTTGTTTTGTGTAAAAAACTGCTAGTTGCCACAGTTTTGACCTTCAGTTTCTTCATCTGTAAAATGGAGAGGGAGGGTGTGTGGGTAATAAATACCAAATCTACCCAGAGGGAGAAAGACCTGGTGCCGTTCTGCTCCCATAAAGATCAAAGCCTAGTAGTAAACCATAGGAGGCAGTTCTGTGCTCTGAGTCAGAATGGACTCGACACACCTCCACAACCACAGAGCTAGCCCCTGGCTGGCTGCCTCCACAGACGACCTGTTTGTCTGGCCTAGAGCTTGACTACCAATCAGCATCTAAGCGAGGGGTTAAGGCACATCCCTGTGATTTTAAGGATGATCATTTGTGGAAGAGAGTTCTGGTGTAGAGCTGCAGATAATGCACTGAAAGTTAGGCGGTTCAAACCCACCAGCCGCTCCTTGGAAATCCTATACAAGGTCACTATGAGTCAGCACCTACTCAGTGGCACTTAACAACAACAACAAAATTGAAAGATATAATTGAATATCCTTTTAATGTTGTTGTGAAGTGCCTTCGAGTCGGTTCCAACCCATAAGCAACCCTGTATAGGGTTTCCGAGGAGCAGCTGGTGAGCTTGAACCGCTGACCTTGCAGTTCAAGCAGCTTTGCAGTATGATGCATTAACCCACCAGGCCACACCAGCAAAAATGCAGTTCCTTTTGCTCCCTTGTTATGCTGCTTCAACAAGGAGCTCGTGATTGGAAGACTTGTAGGTGGAGAACCAGCAGAAATACCCTCCAGGGAAAGGCAGCTGTACCTGGTAATTAAGATCTGGTTCTTTGCGCTCACTTGGAGTTGAGGAGACTAGTTAGTGCACACAAGCTGTAGATAATAAGACGTTTGTTCTCTAGATCTGGAATCCTGGTGGCCCAGTGGATTAAGTGTTATGTGCCTAACCTGAAGTCTTCAGGTTTGAATCCTCACAGGAAAGACGTGGCAGTCTGCTCCAGTGAAGAGTTACAGGCTCAGAAACCCTGTGGGGCAGTTCTGCTCTGTCCTGTAGTGTCGCTGTGAGTAGGAATGACTCTATGGTGGTGATTTTTGTGTGTGTGGGTTCTCCAGGTTTAACTCAGGAGCATAAGTTGGGGGAGTGCTGAATTTTCCTTGCAGCTCTTTTCTATACCAGAGTTTGTGAGATCATGAAAGTAACACACGCTCATCATATAAAACTTAAGAGTTCCACTAGAACACTTCCCAAGATGCCACCGCGCTCCCTCCAAAAGCCTTGCTCACAGCTGGCTAGGGGATCACAAAGGCATTTATTTGTATTTACAAGTTTGTGCAAGCATGCATGTGTGCGCACAAGAGAAAACGTGCCCAATTTTTCTCCTTTTACACATCTCCTGAAAGTGAAGTGACGCTTACTCAAAGCAGGTGCTTCTTATTTACATAAATGAGTTCTTATGACTTAACTGTTCTTAAGTTCTGTTTCATGCACAATGTATCTGGATTATCTTCCTAAATCAGTACATTCAGAGTTTGTTTATTCTTTTCAAGGACTGCAAAGCATTCCAGCCTCTGGAAGCACTGTGCTGGAACCAGTCCGTCTTTAAGGCTCCTGGCTGTTTCCAGCGTTGAGCTGTTGCAAATGCTGCTGGCAAGTGTGTTGTGGCCTCATCTTAAAACCTTCTGGAAAGTCTCTTACCAGAGGCACTGGGTGCAAATTAGAGCGTGTGCCTGGACATTTCCCTGTGTTGAAGCCCCCTTTTTTTTTTCAGGAATGGTGGTTATTAGTTCCTTGAAGTTTTTTTTTTTAATTAAATGTTTTTATTTTGGATTGAGTGAAAGTTTACAGGGCACATCATCAGCTTCACATTCAACCATTCATATAGCTTGTTTCATTACATTGATTATTATCCCCT